TCCCCAGAGGTTAATGGCATCAAGGAGAGTTGCTTCACTGGCCCAGAACAATTTTAGGAGCCTTTATATGCTGTTTTACATGAATGGGTAAAGGATAGTTGATAATTAACATTTATGGTACATAGAGACGGTATGCAGGAAATGAAACAGAAATGAAGTGTTCTGTGGTCTTGTGCTCTGGTGCGTGGTTGTGCCCTGAGGGGTCTCACATTCCATGCGTCTCTTCCAGCAGCAACTCAAATGCTTTTCACTGCCGAGCCAGTGTACTGGGAAGGATCTCTGACTGAGCCCTTGGCTTCCCCTCACTTTTAATTTTATTCATATCTGGCCACATTTTTACATTAATTGAGACGACTTAAAGCAAGAACAGATTTAATAATGATCATAAAGTATAAATAACTAGAGAATTCAGAATAGGGAAAATGAGAACATCAGTTAAGACCCACTGGTTTGCCCGGCCGGTGTGGCTCAGTGGTTGAGCATTGACCCATGCAACAAGAGGTCACCAGTTCGATTCCATGCCCAGGTTGTGGGCCCGATCCCCAGTGGGGGGCATGCAGGAGGCAGCTGATTGATGTTCTGTCTCATCAATGTTTCTATCTCTCCTTCACCCTTCCCCTCTCTCTAAAAAAAATCAATTGGGAAAAAAAAGACACCCTGGGTTAAGGATGGGGTAACACACAAATGTAAGGGCCTACACAGTTGATCTAGTTGAGTCTCAGATTTAGCTCTATAAGTGATTTGGCAGTCAGAATGAAGACAAATATATATATAACTATATATCATTATATACTTGTCATCAGAGAGGAAGAAACATTCCAATTCGAACTTCTAAAAGGAATTTACATGTAGTTTCACACAGGTGCACTGAGTGATACAAACAAAATTCCTATGGGAAGTTAGCAATGGGTTTCACATGACTGTTTCACACGGTGTTCTTCAATGAACTAGGAGAGTAGAACTTGAACATGGAGCTTAGTGAGGGTATGACTTCAGGGATTTAAGGTAACATGATCCAAATATCCAGCTTAATTCAAGGACTTCTATTACCTAGATACATACATGGACCACATATCCTTCAAATAATTTTTCACTCATCACTTCTCTCAACTAGGCTCTTGATAGGAGTAGATAACAGGCAGTATTGAATATTCTGGTAAGGGCCTGGGTTTTGGAAGTTGTTTGTCCCCACTGGACAATTTTTTTTTTTTTTTAATCCTCACCCAAGGACATTTTTCCATGTTTTATTCAGACAGAGTGGGAGGGAGAGAGAGGAAGAGAGAGAGAAAGAAAAACATCAACATGAAAGGGACACATCGAGTGGTTGCCACCCACACGACCCATCCAGGGCCGGGGACAAACTGCAACCGAGGTACGCACCCTTAGCAGGAACCGAACCTGGGTCTCTCTGGACCGCAGGCTGACGCTCTAACCACTGAGCAAAACTGGCCAGGGCCCCACTAGACAATTTTTAAGGACAGTGATTGTTTTTGTTTCCTTCTTACTTCACAACATCTGTCACCTAGTGATTACTCAATAAGTATTTATTGAATAATCGGCTTTAAGTAATTATTTAATGATTCTGATGATGTTTTGGGATGGGTGTTTGAAGTATGTTTTGTTATATAGTATCAACTATGAAGAAAATTATGAAATTCTGTCTAAACTTGGGTTTCTTAAAAGTACAACTATTGACATTTGAGGCCAAATAATTCTTTGTTGTGGGGATTTTCCTGTGCATTGTAGGATGATTATTGGCAGCATCTCTGGCCTCTACTCACTAGATGCTAATAAAACCTGCAGTTGCGACAACTAAAAATGTCTCTAGACACTGCCAAAGGTATTCTGGGGGTAAAATCACCTCCAGTTGAGAACAATTGATCTAGACCATGGTTCCCCAGAGAATGGAAATAGAGGGATCAGGACAGCTTCAGAATTGCTTTTCCAAATTTTGACTTGTTTAGTTAAAACATGGATGTTTAGTTAGGTACTAAAAGAAACAAAATTGAAGTGTGAAGTGCTACCCATTTGGTGTGTTACAAGGGAACAGGATGTAGGTGGTAGAGATTAACTAAATTTTTATATATACATATATATATATATATATATGTTTGTTTTTTGTTTTTTTAGTTAAAGACTATAATTGAAGAGTTGACCTAAAGAAAATTAGGTGTGGCTCTGTGATTGAATAAATGTTATAGAAGGAATCCCAACTATTGGAGTTTATAGAAGATTAAGTTCTACTTGGTTGCTTTTCTGTCATGTAAGGGGCATAGCAGAATATGCAACTGCTGCTTTTGAAATGTGTGACTTTAAGATGACCTCAATGAAGAACTGATTTAACTGTAGCCTGGTTTTACTCATTTATAAGCGAAATGCCTAACCATGTGTACTATGTAGTTATTTAAATTAATATTCCTTCCCCCAGGAGCTCTTTTTAGCCTCTGCAGACATACGGTTTGATCATATCATATGTTAGATGTTTATTTTTTAAATCTACGAGGGTAGTTGATACTGTACTTTTTAGAAAAATAGACTTTGATTGTCTATCTTAGTTGGTGAATAGAATGTAACACATGTGCCCAGCCGGTGTGACTCAGTGGTTGAGTGTCGACCCATGCACTAAGAGGTAGCCAGCTCGATTCCTGGTCAGAGCACATGCCTAGGTTGTGGGGGCAATCCCCAGTCGGGGGCATGCAGGAGGGAGCCAGTCTTTGTTCTTCTCATTGATGTTTCTATCTCTATCTCTCTCTCCATTTCTCTCTGTCTAAAAGTAATAAAGGAAAAAAAAAGAATGTAACACATGTAATGACAGTGCTGCTTTGGAACATGACAGAGGCAATTATTTACGTAGTTTCTGACCATAATTTTATTGCTATGGACCAATGATTGTTATAGGCCTCCATTTCCCCTACCTCTTGTTTTGAATAGGAATTCTGTTACATTTTTCTATTCCTTTCTCATATATTGGATGTTTAGGGGAGACAAATAACTTTTTTTTTTTTTAGTTGTAGGTCTCACATTGAGAGGAATTGTACCCAAGAATTCTTATCCACATTCAGACCTTTTATGTGCACACAACAAGATCCTAGACTTTGAGCCAATGAAATGATATAATGAGATGAAACTTTTGGGAGAGGGATGTACATTGTTGTTGCCAGAGTGGCAAAAGAAGCAAGTGATAGTGAAAAAATTCTGGCCTCATTTTTCAGTAATAATTAGGAGTACAATATTAGAAATGCAAGAGTGAAGGGTATGTGGATGGGGGAACGGGATGGTTTGGGAGGCCTGAAGAGAAATAAAAAAATAAAATTAACTCCACATTGCCCAGGGGAGTGTATACTCTGCTTCTTTAGCCTCACAATGTTGATTATAGAAGATTAGAGACCATGGATGGCATTTTCCCAGAGCATATCAGTAGTGAAATGAGGAAGGTAGTTTTCTATTGTGGGAAAAGGTTTACTATTTGAGGTAAGACAGACTTGGTTTTAAATTTCTATTCTGCCACTTACTTTGGGCAAGCTATTTTACATCTTTTTGTTTGTTTTTGTATATTATTTTAGGAGTATGTTGTAAATGTATTTGTTGTAATCCTTAAATTTTTTATGCTTGGCTCTAGTGTGAAAGGAGGTTGACCTAGAATTATCTCTGAGAGTTCTTCTTCTTCTTCTTCTTCTTCTTCTTCTTCTTCTTCTTCTTCTTCTTCTTCTTCTTCTTCTTCCTCCTCTCCTCCTCCTCCTCCTCCTCCTCCTCCTCTTCCTTCTCCTCCTCGTCCACCTCCTCCTTGTCCACCTCATTCTTCTTCTTTTTTTTTAAAATAAGAGTTGATCTGAGCCAAACCGATGACATCTGCTGGGAGCAAGATCTCAAATGCCCTGTGAGGGACCTTCTGACCTTAGAGGTCTGAAACCTACTTAGCAGTAACTGACATTTCAACTCTAGTGATAGGTAATGACAAATGAAAATGGCTCTTTAGCTACTTAATTCCTGTTCCTAGTCCAAAGCAGTTTATAATAATTTGTTTTTATAGAATGAAATAGAAAACAGAAGATTGGCTCTGATTATTTTGCAAGGTAGGAATTCCATTCTGAGCCACGGACTTACTGTTGATGCTTGAGTCTCTTATTAGTTCACCAGGTCAGAATACCCTGGAAGAGCTGATAGGTTGGCATGCTGCTTCTGGGACCCAAACCCAAAATCATTAAGAAAGAAGCCACTGTGAGTAAGTGTTCAATCCTGAGATCTTGTAAAACAGTGGTGGAGTCCAAACCTTTTAGGAAAATCCTAATTAATCTTCTTAGAGAGTAAATCCCAGATCTCTTTCATCCTGGTCATTAGGCTTTGAGCTGAAAGGAAGATTTTTAATGTTTACTGCATGTCAGACGCTGCTGGGTCCTTCCACATAACATTGTCTTATTTAATCCCTGTGAGATACTTTATGTTATTTCCATTTACAATTTCTCAAATGCCCCAAATTTTGTTTTTTGAACTTTCTCAGCTTTTATATATCCTATTCCCTCCACCTGGAATGGTCTTATTCCTCCTTTTTGCTTAATGAATCCCTACTTGTCCTTCTCATCTCAGATTTTACTACTTCAAGGAAGCCTTCCTAACCCCCTAGGTTTGTCTTCCTTTTACACACTAATCACACACTGTATCTCAATAAGCACAGCAATTATGTGATTAGTTATTTAATATCTGTCATTCATGCTAAAGTACACTTTAGCTCCATGATTACGAGAACTGTGTATGCATCATTTTTCTGTGTTATATGTAGTGCCAAGTATAGTTTTTTACACATAGCTACTCAGTAAATAATCATTGTATGATTATGGCAAATAAGTGCAATCATCAGGAGTTGAATGCCTGTCTATTATTAAACTTCAAAACCTTCCTTCTTTAAGTCACACCATACAGACCCATAAAGGAAGTATTTCTTAATGAAATGACCCAAGAGGCTCTTCCTCAACTCTATCTCAGATCTAAATTGGCAACCTAACTATAAAAGCTATTCATTAACCTTACATACCAACCAGGGTGTGGTTCTGGGACAAGGAACTGAAAGTTTTCAGCAAATCTCCCTTTTCTGCATGGGTAAATTCTTCAGAGGTTCCACATATCTGAACAGCTGTTTTTGAAGAACGGTGGTGGAAGAGGCTCTAGGACTCTGTGTCCCATTAGGGAACTTGACAAGAAGTAAACACACCTGCTGGTTTACCAGTGTGTCTGACTTCCTGCTAAGCTGAAAATTGCTGGTTTGGTGGAAAAGCCAAAGTTGGCAGCAAAATGAAGACCCCCACGACTTTTGAGGAGCAAACAGAATGCATTGTGGACTTTCTATTCACAGATTTCTTAGGCATACCTTCGCAGGTTGCTCCCCGGAACCTAACTGGTGAAGTTGAAACAGACTCAGGTAAGGTTCCTTGCCTGCGGTGGTGATTGCAGGTCAATAGGAGAATCTGAGTATGCTTTCTTATTTCCATGGAAATTTCCAAAGGTAGACTCTAAGCTTTCAGCAATACCTGAGTCTTTTTGGAAGGGAAATAGATTCTCAGAGAAGGGAGGTTTTCTGATATTGGTGATGGCAGAACAGTAAAGATGTTCTCGGGAGAGAATAATGCCAAAATTGTTTAAAAGTCTAGAGAAATTTCTCCAGTGTTTGGATTCCTGGGACTTCTCCTCCCTTCAAACATTGTGATAAATGTGACTGTGTTTTCTGTGTTTTAGGAGAGCCTTGCTCTTTTGACGTGGCCATCATTGCTGGTCGCCTTCGGATGTTGGGGGATGAGATCAACGCAGAAGTGGAAGCTTCTATCCAAAGCGTCATCACAGAAACCATGTGGAAACAGGTCAGTTTTCTACTACTTTCTATTTACTGCTTTTCCTCCTATTTCAGACATTTTTTTCCTACCACTGCTATAGGAGTGTGACCATAAATATTCGGTGGAAGATTTGGGGGCTTGATTTATCCAAGAAGATACAGCAGGAATTCTCCAACTGTCAGTTCTTTAAGAGTTAAGCAAAGCCTAAGTGGTATTGAGGTGGAAAGCTTTGGGCAAAGGCTGGTCAACCCTCACAATGATGCTCTGTTTTTTTGGTCAGAGCTGTGCTTGGTGGCATAGAGCGTATATAAGGCACTTTATTCTCTTATGCGCCTGTTTTAATACCTGTTTTTCTGGTTGTGGGCATCTTTTTCCCCCTGCAGGTCCAGCAGTGACACTATATACAGGAAGGATAGGCAGTTGACAAGTTTGATGCAATAAGGGATGCTGCTCTGGAAGCCCACCAGGGCATATCTTCAGCAGAATGCTGGCAGCAGCATTGGGCTCTGTACTGGATATAAAGACCATAAACAATATTCTAGAAGATGTTGATTATATCAATAACGATAGTTGATATGAATTCTTCACTTACCATGTGCCAGCGGATATTGTAAATGCTTTACATTTAACTATCTCATTTAATCCTTACACCACTGTATGAGGTATTATAGAAACTATTATCCATAGTACAACCTCTTCCCATCTGTATATAACACTGTGAGAGCAAACATCTAACCCATTTTGCTCACGGCTGCATTGACTCAGTCTAGAACAGGCCTGTTACATAGTAGGTCCTCAATAAGTCTGTTTTGACTTGATATCCATTTAAGCAGAAAAGGAAACTGAAAACTAGAGAAATAAGTAATTAGGCTATGCAGTATGTTATTTTTTCTTTTATTATCTTTTAAATTTTCTTTTTCTTTTTTTTTCTTTTCCAAAAGCTCTGTATTTATTTATTTAGAGGATCAACCAGTTCAGTGGCAGGAGTGGGAGAGGTTTCTTTTTCAATTTGGGGGTCTTTATAATGTTGGTCTGTTGTCACCAAATACACAGGCAAGTGGCATGATGGATTTGGTAAACTAACTACAATGTTTAGTCTCTCTCTGCTAGAGCAACAAGGTGCGTGCCTATCTCTGCTTCTGTAAGAATCCTGACTTTAGGATTTTCAACTGTAACTACTCCAACTTCTATTTCTGAAGGTTTGAAATCAATTGATAGAACAGTAGACAGGCAGGTAATCGCAGTTTCCACTGTTTGTTCAAATGTCCAATCAAATTTCTTCTTCACTTTTTTTCAAGAAATCTGGTTAACTCGGTTTGTTTAACACCTGCTGTAGTGGCTTTAAACCCACAGTAGTAACCTGCAGGATCACACTTGTACACCTGAGGGCCTTGTTCTTCATCTATACCAATTAAAATCATACAACAACCAAGAGGCCTCATTTCAGCATTCTGTGTATAGACCTGAGAAATATCAGCAATTCTTTTACACAGCATGTCTACATAGCCATGCTCATAGCATGTCCACACAGGAATCTCATAGCCATACTTGTATTTCCAATTAGCTGCCTCATAACGTGCCCTCTGTACCTGGGATCTGTTGTCACCTGTCATTCCTGTCATCACACAGCCAATGTTTTCAATTATCTTGAATAAGTGAGTCACTGTGCTGGAATCCAATAATTTGTCAGGTACTTTCTTCTGTGTGACAATTACTGCACAATCTTTCCCCCCCGACAGCCACTAACGTAAGGCCACCCTGGTTAATAGCCTTAAAAGCATATTCTACTTGGTAGAGCCGGCCCTCAGGAGAAAAAATGGTAATGTGGCGGTCAAAACCAGCGCTGGAACCACGGGACATGTTACTGTGTTCCCCCTGGTATTTCCAGTACCCACCTGGTACCATACATAGTTATTAAATATCATTAGCTGTATTCCCTCTGCTGTACTTTACATCTCTAACCAATAAGTACTGAAGTTAAGATTTGAACCCAGACAGATCCCACAACCATTATGCTTAATTCTTCCTACTGAATATAGTTTGGGAGGTGTGCCTACTCTACATTCAGGCAGAATTAGCCTATTACTCCTACTTGATCTCACTGATGCTTTCCTAGGAGCTGAATCTACTTTCTATTTTTTAATTAAAAAAATTTTTTTGAAACAGCCTCAAACTCATGGAAAAGTTGTATGCATTGTACGAAGAATTTCCCTCTTGAATCATTTGAAGGAAAGTAGCCAACACGATGTTCCATCACTCCCCAATCCTTTTATATTTCCTTGAAACAAGGACATTCTCTTATATAACCACAATCTGACCATCAAAACCAGGAAATTATCATGGAATCTAAGATTCCATTCAAATTTTGCCAATTATCCCAATGATGTTATTTATAGCAAAAAAAGATGTAGGCCAGAATCAGATGTTGCATTAAGTTGTTGTGTCCTTTTAGTCTCCTTCAGACTGGAATAGTTCCTTAGTCTTTCATTGATTTTCATGACCTTGACACTTGACAGTTATAGTTCAATTATTTTGTAGACTTTCCCTTAACTTGGGTGTTTATTAAATGTCAGATACACAGGAATGTGTTTTAGAAGTTAAAAAATAATAAGTTGACCCAGGCTGGTTTGGCTCAGCAGTTAGAGCGTTGGCCGGAGAACCAATGAGTCACGGGTTCGATTCCGGTCGAGGGCACGGACTTTGATTGCAGTTAGGTCCCCGGCCCTGGTCAGTGTCGTGCGGGAGGCAACCAGTGGATGTGTTCCTCTCACGTCGATGTTTCTCTCTCTCTTCCTTTTTCTCCCTCTCTCTCCTTCCCACTCAGTCTGAAGATAAATAGGAAAATATCCTCAGGTGAGGATTTTTAAAAAAATAGCAAGATGGACTTTAAAAGTGCAACTTGAGGCCTTGTTTCAGAAGACAACTCAGTTGTGTTTGATGTTTTCTCTTGAATAGTTTAAGGATACATACCTTTGGTAGGAAAATCACAGAAGTGTTGTTCTCATCCCATCAGGTGGCACTCATTTCAATTGGTTCCATTACTAGTGGTAACTTGACTTACTCAAGATTGTGTCTGCAAAACTTCTTCACTGTGAAGTTACTCTTCTGTTCACCTTTTTTTTTTTTTAAATCCTCACCCAAGGACATTTTTCCATTTTTTGTTCGGATAGAGTGGGAGGGAGAGAGAGGAAGAGAGAGAGAGAGAGAGAAACATCGACGTAAAAGGGACACATCGAGTGGTTGCCACCCACATGACCCAACCAGGGCCAGGGACAAACTGCAACCGAGGTACGTGCCCTTAGCGGGAACCAAACCCAGGTCTCTCTGGACCGCAGGTAGACGTTCTCTGAGCAAAACCAGCCAGGGCTTCTGTTCACCTTTGTAATTGTTTTGTAGGGAGGGACTTTGAAACCATGTAAATACTCCATATCTCATCAAAATTTCAATCTATTCATTTATGTTTTACATCAACATAGACTTATAAATTCCTACTTTATTCAATGGCTTATAATCTGTTACATTATTATGATTTTCCTTTATTGATTTTAGAGAGAGAAGTGAGAAACATCGATGAGAGAGAACGTCGGTTGGCTGCCTCCTACATGCTCCCCACTGGGGATCTGGCCCACAACCTGGGCATATGTCCTGACCGGGAATCCAACGGGCAACCTCTTGGTGCATAGGTCAATGCTCAACCACTGAGCCACACCGGCCGGACTGTTACTATTATTATTTATTTCAGTGCTCACATTGCCCCAGCTTTGGCCAGTGGGAGTCCTTTCAATCTGAACTGTGTCTTATTGGCATGTTCCTATCATTCTCTGAGTACTGCCTTAATTTCTAACAGAAGATCCATATTTTTCACTCCCTATCCAGAAATCAGCCATTCTCCAGGGAGCTCTGTTTTTTTTTTCATGGAAAATGATATTTGGATACCAAGATCTAGATACTCGTGCATGGTCGCCCTTCTCAGCTTGTTTAGGCTCTGACACCCTGCTTTGACGCCATGCTGCCCCTCCCCCCACACTACACTACAATAGATCTTGCTTGGTCATACTTAATGGCTTTTGGACCAAATTTTTTTGGGAAGGACAAAAAGGCTAATCTTTTTTTTTTTTAACTTTAGAATTTCCCAAACTTCAGTCATTTACGCAATACCTTCACAGTTTGACCAGCTGTAATATCATGTACTTAATAATTTTCTTTCAAATAATTTTGTTTCTCTTTCAATCATTTGGGTCACCCCAGTCAATAATATCTGAAATCGTGGGTTTAATGGGCTACTCCTGGTTTTTCTAATGGCCATTGCAATAAATACAATATTAAAATGAGCAGTCTATCCATTTGCTCCCTCAGATTACCTTAGATACAACCAGTGGTATATGGGCCACTCTCCTGTACCTGCAGCCTTCTGCACTTTTTCAGTGACACTGATATATCCTGTGTCTCTCCCCAGGCAGGAGCCACCCTTCAGGAGACAGTAAAATCTCTCAGCGAGGGCTGGTGTGCTCAAGATTCCAGCTTAGCTTATGAGCGAGCCTTTTTGGCAGTGTCAGTGAAATTTCTTGAACATGTGGTCCGCATGGCTCCTCAAATGGCAAGACAGGTGGCGAACTCTGTGACAGATATGATCAATGGGAATGGTGCCATCCGGGAGTTCATCCAGGGCCAGGGAGGTTGGGTAAGTATGTCAGGGTCCCTAACTTTGCTAGACATTTGCTACTAATACCTGGGACTAATGCCTGGGACTCCAATTTATAATTCTTTCTGTAAGTTGGAAACCAAGCAGGAAAACAGGCCTCCCTACTTGGCTGAAAATCCCAGGCTTGTTTTTGCCATGGAAAGGGGGAGCATTCAGAAGCTCAGTCTGTGGATGTTGGACCCTGGAGCTGTGCTGCCTGAAACATTGCTAACTATATAAAGCAAATTTCCACTCCCCACACATCTGTAAAGCATATTGGTGGTTGAGTTCTAGTCTCAGCCTGGCTTTACTCTTACCTGGTAAATTTCTGGGTCTTTGTGTAATGTCTCCGGTGTCTGCTGAGGCAGTTCAGAATCATCTTACTATTTGTTATCTTACAAAAAACTATTCACGTTGTCTGCTGTAGAAGGCATTCTAAGCCCATGTCTTAGTCATCATGAGACCATCTGCTCTCACAGAGCACTCCCCTTCACTGCCAGGATCAGCAGAGGCCCTAGTAAGAGCTACATTCCCTGGCAGTACCTGCAGGTCATTCCTGCTTTCCTTAGGAAGTCCTGATGACCATCCCTTTGACTGCTGGATATTCATTGACTTCCTAGGAAAATCTGGAGAGCTGAAGAAGTGGAGTGTTTCCCAGCCTGAACATCTCTTCTTCTTTGACTAATCAGCCAAATTAAAAACCTCTTTCTTGCCCAGCGGTGTGGTCCAGTGGTTGAGCGTCGACCCATGCACCAAGAGGTCACTGGTTCTATTCCTGGTCAGGGCACATGCCCAGGTTGTGGGCCCAATCCCCAGTGGGGGCCATGCAGGAGGCTGCCAATTGATGTTCTCTCTCATTGATGTTTCTATCTCTCTCTCCCTCTCCCTTCCTTTCTCTCTAAAATTAAATAAAAAAAAATTTTTTTTAAAACAACCATTTTCTTTTGTACAGAACTGAAAGCTGGATGATTTATTTTCTATTGATCAAGTTGGTAGCAGCTCCCAGAGATCCATGGAGATTTTATACTTCCTGTTTGATGTGAGTTGTGATGAGGTTCTATTGAAGCAAAGCCTCCAGACACAGAGCAATGAGTTGTCAGCAGTGAAATTCCAGGCAACCCAGGGCAGGCCTTTGCTGCAGTTATTTTGGGGAGAAGGGAGCACGCATTAAACTATTCCTTCAGGTTTAGCCCTGACTTTGGTATGAATCTTGTCTACTAATTTTGCAGTCAGAAGGATTTCAGAGAGATTTTGCGTTGGGAAATCTTGTTACTTTAAGTTGAGGATTTTCTTTTAAATTCATAACCTAAATTTTATGTTAATTTCACCTGAGCAGAATAATTTAATGCATTTTCAATATTGGAAGTGAAAAACCAGTTTGTTCATCAGGCTTTCTATTAGAAAGGTCAAAGAAAAAACAGTCACTGCATGTTTACTGCCACAGAATGCAGGAAGTGCTGGCCCACATCTAGAACAGCAGGGCCACCTCACCTTCAGGGGTGGGGCATCTTTTTTCTGCCAAGGGCCATTTGGATATTTATAACATCATTTGAGAGCCATACAAAATTATCAGCTTAAAAATTAGCCTGTTATACTTTGTCAGGCTAATTTGGTGAGGTGTGTGATGTTAGCTGGTGAGGCCTGCTAACATTACCCCTGCATGAAGCTAGCTGCATGCCATAGTGATTTTCAAAGTGAGGTCACATGCCTCTGGTGGACCTTATTAATGGCTGATTTCCAGGTCTGTTCCTAGAGATTCTGTACAGGTGGGCTGGGGCCTACTATCCTACCTTTGTAACCTTTGTAACCAGTTCCACAGGTGATTCTGATGTGCAGCCAGAGTTTGAGAACCATCACTTCAGAGCAGGGGTTGGAAAATTATAGCCCAAAGGCCCATCCAGCCTGCTACTTTTTTTGTAAATAAAGTTTTATTGGAACACTCACTTGTTTTTGTATTATCTATGACTGACTTAGTACCGCTATGGCAGAGTTAAGTAGTTATAGCAGACACCCTGTGGCTCCTTAAAGCTTAAAATATTTACTCTCTGGCCATTTCAGTTTACAGACCCTTGCTGTAATGCTAAATGAACATTTCTCCTTCTGTAATTTAAACTCTGCTGTAATCCTGATAATTCCTGGCAAACACAATCGTAAATAGGATAACTCTTTTTTTAGAATTTAGTCTAAGAGTGTTTGTTAGTTCTTACATGGTCTACACTTTCTCTAGGACTTTTGGAAAATCAGAGAGTTCTGTGGCTCCTGAGTTGTCCAGAGAGGGTATGCATTCCCCTGGCCTTACCACAAGTGATCGGAGGTCATTGGAAGTAAAGCGTATGGTTTCTATGGTCTGCATATCTCATAATAGTCCTTAATAATCTCAGAGATTAGTAGGTAATCATCAAATAGAAACAACTTCGTCCAGAGGCTATAAAACCAGGTCACCTACCTGCATGGCAGGAAGGAAAACATTGCTATATCTGTTTTTGAAGAGGTGTTAATGTCTTTGGCTAAAGTTTACAGAGCTAACCACATCCCCTCCCTTCAGCCACCCAGCTATCTGGCTCCCCTAAGTGCATAGAAATAAAGACACAGTTTTGCTAATATGTTCTGACTTTTTAAGTAAGGCTATTTCCTCCATTTTTGGATAAATCACAATAGGTTAGTAAGCCAGAAATGAGATTTCATGTTTCTATTTAGTAGATATTAGTTTTTTTTATCCTCACCTGAGGACATTTTTTTTTTCATTTTTTGTTCAGATAGAGTGGGAAGGAGAGAGAGAAAGAGAGAGAGAGAGAGAGAGAGAGAAACATTGACGTGAAAGGGACACATCAAGTGGCTGCCACCCACATGACTAACCAGGGCCAGGGACAAACTGCAACCGAGGTACATGCCCTTAGCGGGAAGCGAACCTGGGTCTCTCTGGACCGCAGGTCGATGCTCTAACCACTGAGCAAAACAGTCCAGGGCCAATATTAGTTTTTTTGATACCAATTTAAGATACTCGATGTAGTCCTTTGTAAAAGGTCTGAGCCGGTGGGAGATCACATCCACAGCACAAGGCCAATGTAGAGCAAAATGGCTTTATTGCATGTGCCTGGGTGCAGGCGGGCTGAGCCGAGAAGGGTTCAGCATTGAATAACAGTTGGGGTGTAGGTTGTACACTCTACTTTTAGCTTCCGGCAGTTCCTGCTGATGTTCTCTGCCCAGCTCATCGTCCACCTCGCAGTTGGACTGGTCTGGTATCTCGTCTTGCATCTGCTGGGTGATTCCTTGTCTTTTGGATAACCTGATCATCATTATCCATACTCAACAGAAGGCTGAGCAAAGGTCATGCAAGCAACACGATTTTTCACAGTTTCTGCCTTTTGCAAGCTTTTACCTTTACCCTTTAAAACATTACTAACCCTTTTATTTTGTCCCTTACAAACTCAACATGGTAAATTTTGTGATATTTGGCCTCATAGGTGAAGTCACTGTTTTTACTTTGACTAATGCTCTTCTGGTCATGAAATAAAATTCTTCTATCTATGCATTTGAACTAATTCTCAGCAAGTACAACCTCAATTAAATGATATAGAAACAGAACAGATTGGTGGTTGCCAGGGGCAGTGGGTGGGAGAGTGGGGGACATGGGTGAAGGGGATCAGAGGTACAAACTTCTGGGGATCTAATGGACAGCAGGTGACTATAGGTGACAGTACTGTATTATATATTTGAAAGTTGCTAAGAGAGTAGATTTTTAAAGTTCTCACACACACAAAAATTGTAACTATGTGAAGTGACGGATGTGTTAACTAAGCTTATTGTGGTGATGATCATTTAGCAATACACACACACGCACATCAAATCATTACATTGTACTCCTTAAAGTTACCCGATGTTCAATGTCAGTTATATCTCAATAAAGATGGAAACAGTAAATTGAATGCTACAGTTCAGAATCCAGCAGCCTCCTCTTTTTCCTCTTTTCTTTTCCCTCTTAGCCACGCCAGCTCCCTCTTCTATCCCATATTGCCCATGAAATATCAGAAGGTGAATCTAGCTCCAAGCATACTGCAGTATCTTAGTGAATATGGTGCCCTAGGGGTTACACTGGACAAATGGGTAAAGCAGCCATGGCCTAGCTGCTGTGTTTGTGGGTAGCCCCCTTATCCTAGGAAAACTGAAGTGATGGGACGGCAGGAAGAAGGCACTCTAGTCCAGAGATTAAGAATGCATTCCGATGGTCTAGACTGATCATGTGACATTGGATAAATAATCCAATTCCTTTGTGCCTCAGTTTCCACATCTTGAAATAGAGATGATTTGGTAACTAATTCATAGGATTCTTGTGAGGGGTAAATGAAACAACACACTTTGTAAAGGGTTCAGCCCAGTGCCTGGAATATTATTAAGCACTGCTTAAACAATTTGGAGCCCCTGTGATTTGGAGTTTCCAAAGTTCTAGCTTGACTTTTAAAAAAAATCTCCATTATAAAAAAGCTGTGGTACATATACACAATGGAGTACTATGCAACTGTAAGATAGAAAGATCTCCTATCCTTTGAGACGACATGGAGGGACCTGGAAAGTGTTATCCTGAGTGAAACAAGCCAAACAGAGAAAGACAAGTATCATATGATCTCACTTATTTGTGGAATATAATGAACATAACAGTCTGAGGAATAGGGTAGTCCCAGAGACGTGGAAGTGGGGTACAGACTGACAATCCCCAGAAGAGGGGGTGGTGGGGGGAGAGATAAACCACAGAACTTATATGCATGTATGCATGAACAATGGACATGGACAACAAAGCTGGGGACAGGGCGGGGAGGGAGAGGGAGGGGGGAATCAGTGGGGGGAAAAGGAGAAACATCTGTAACAAAAATAAATAAATTAATTTAAAGAAAAATTTTCATTAACTCTGTTTTTCATAAAAGCAAGCCAACAACCTATGGTTTTACCTTTCACCTCAATGTGGATGATTTGTAAGTCTGACTTATTTCCATTTTTCCCAAATC